CGATCACCTCGCTGCGCGCCCCGCTCCGCCACGCCGTGCCGTGCCCTGCCATGCCTCGCCTCGCTCCGCCACGCCACGCCACGACCCGCCGCGCCCCGGGCCCTGTGCTGCGCCGAGCGCCGTGTCTGTCGGGGCGTACAGGCTGGGGCGGGGTGGAGGGGCAGACCACTTCCAGGCTCGCTAGCGCTTCCCTCCCCGGCGAGGCCAGGCGGGGCGGGGCTTTTTCATCGGGGCCGACGAGCAGCGCAGGAGCGCGAGAGAGAGAGAAGAGAAAGGCAGAAGAACTGAAAGAGCGAGAGAGGAAAGACCCGGGAAGGGGAGGGCCGCACCACCGTACTCGGCGCGCGCACTACGCATAGTGATCCACCGTAAAAAAAGAAAATATGAATATCGTTTACTTTCGCGCGATTTCCCCCGTCACGACGACGGCGTCGACGGCAAGGCGTGCGAGGGCTCGACTTTGCCGTCAGCGCGGTCGTGTGCTCGGGGCCGTGTAATGCACGAGGGGGAGGGAGGGGGAGGGAGGAGTATGAGGGCCGTTCCACACCGGGGTGGGAGGCCCCCGGTGGAAGTTTACGTCCCTCCGTCCCTTCTGCCGCGGTGCGGGACGCCTTTCCAAGAGCCCCACAACCTCGGCCGTGTGCGCGCTGGTGTGGAGGTGAAGGATGCTTCATCCCCGGCGGCGGCAGCGCTGCGGCTGCGCAGCGCGAGCACGCCACATGGTCTCGGTGTACTCCACGTGCGCGGGCACATAAAGCGCCGGTCGGTTACACCCTGGGAATGACGATTACATTACCGCTGCTTCCGCTGGAGAGACTCGTGGTAGGCGCGCTGCCGGTGGCGCCCGCGCCCGCCCCTCGCTGCGCTCGGCCTACGAGCCCCGGGGCCAGGAGAGGGCCGGCGGGGGCGGCGCCCGGGCCAGCGGCACTAGTCTGGCCTCACTGCACTGCCCTACTCACTGGCCGGGGCTATTTCCATCGCGAACGGGCCCGGCCCAGCAGACGTGGCGTTGCATGCCCAATAGTCTTTTCACCGAGACTTTTTTACACAGCGCCATTCAGTCTGCCATAAAGTCTGCGAAATCGACGTCGAGTCCGACAACAACCGCGACTCCCTGCTGCTGCTGCTGCCACTGCCGACGGCACAGCGCGCGCTCCTGGAGGAAAAAAATATAGAAAGAAACACGCCCGCCACCTCCGCGCCGCCCCCAGACATGCACAACGTCGCCCTCTGCGCGCCCCGACTCTCCGAACTCGCGGCCCGCGCAGGGTCAACGCGCCCAAGCGCTTGCTACGGCACGGCTCGCTGCGCGACAACCGGATTTGTTTTGGGAAACAAACAGTTTTGTCGTGTGAAGCATGTTATTTTTTTACGCAGCTCCTGGCATGGCCAGAGAGGCGAGTTGCTCTGACCCCAATCGCGTCAGTCGCGAAGCTGTCTTGGACATCCGCAACCCGGAAGTCGGCAGCGAGCCGGAAGGAGAGGCCGAGGGGGGATGAGAAACAGGCGATGGAGGGCGTGCGTGGAGCAGCCGCGGGCTGAGAGGGGAAAGGGGAAGGGAGGAGAGGGCGCCGCTCGGATTCTGAAACGGGCCGTTTCCGCAGCAGCAGCGGAGGCGGCGGCGGCGGCGGCGGCGGCGGGCAGTTGGCGGTCTGCGGGAATATCGAGCGGGACGCGATGGGGAGGGGAGGAGGGGTGTGGCGGCCAGGGAGCGAGGGAGGCAGCAGCGAGAGGAGCGGGGGGAGAGGGCAGGAGCGGCGCCCGAGGGACTGACGAAGTTAGCGTGACCGTGGGTTACGCGCCCCTTGGCCGTAGGGAGTGCCAACAGACGTGACTGCTGGGGGGCCCTGGCCCGCCTGGCCCCGCCCCGGCCCCGGCCGCGCCCTGGCCTGCCAAACTTTGACCGCCTGCCGCCACACCCGGCCCCGGCCACGTCCCACCGCCGGCACCTCCACCACCCCAGCGACGGCCCGACCAGCCCTGCCCTGCGGCCTGCCCCGCCCCACCCCACCGCGCGCGGCCACCCCGCGGGCTACGCGTCCCGCGCGCTCGCCTGACTTACGATCGTCTGCGTCTCGCCTCGCCTCGCTCGCCTCGCCTCGTGACGGCATGAGTTAGTGGCGCGAGCTGCCCCGCCCGCCCCGCCCCGCCACGGTATACGCCCCGCCGCGCTGGCTTTACCGCCGCGCCACAAACGAAAATGGGCTTCCGATGTTTTTTTCATGCCCCGGGGCGGCAGTGGGAGCGCCCGCCCGCGCGGCCCGCACCGCGCAGACATGAATAGTTGTGCCGCCTCCTTCTTCCCCCCTGGTGCGCCAGGACCGCGGGCCCAGGACCCCGGGCGGCGGAGGCATGCCTTCTCGATTAGGGCCTCGTGGTGTTTCCTCCACCTCGCGTCGAGACTTAACGCCCTCGTTGTGCCGTTTGCAGGAGGACCATGCGATGCAGAGCGCCGTCCTAGCCATGACCACCACCAGCCCGTCCAGTCGCCTGTCGCACAGCATTCCCGCCGCCATGGCCCAGCCCCTGGCTCAGCCCCTCGGACAGCTTGGGCCGTCGCCCGCCATCCCGACACTCAAGCAGCTCCAGGACATCCACATCAAGGCCAAGCAGGGCCCCAGCAGCAGCAGCAACAACAACAATAACAGCGCCAGCGCCGCCAACAACAATAACAACAACTACAAGCCGCTGACCGTGCCGCCTGTCGTGCTCAAGCTGACGGCCGACGCCGCAGCGGAGCAGTCCCCCAAGCGCACCTACTCGGTGTCGCACTCAGACGGCAGCATGTCGACCTCGTCGACCCCACCCCACGAGAGCTCTGCCAAGAGGCCGCGCCTGGCCGACGAGGAGACCGACGCCGTCGGCTTTGCCGCCAAGAAGGGCGCCAGCAGCGTGGCATCGACCCTGGCGCTGGCAGGCGCGCCGCTGCTGCCTGAGGTCGGCAGCCTGGTGCTGCCGCCACCACTACCGCCACCGCCGGGCGTCATCCTGGCCATGGAGAGGCCCACCCTGCCCAGCGTGCTGCAGTACAGCCCTTACCTCGGCCTGCCGCTGGGACCGGGCTCCCCGCTGAGCTCCCCGCTGGGCCCCCTGGTGGCGCCGACACCGCCGCCGCGCCCGCCCTCCGTCTCCACCGCCGACCTCGCACCGCTGCGCCCGCCCTCGGCCGGTCCGTCGCGGCCGGCGTCCGCGGGGCCGTCCTCGGCGTCGCCGCGGCCGCGCAGCCACCCGCCTCACGCCTCGCCACTCAGGGGCAAGCACAAGGCCATCCGCCAGCAGGCCATGGAAGAGAACCGGGAGGGGCTGCTGGACTGCGTCAAGCACGTCCCGGAGAACTTCCAGGTAAGAGCGCTGAAAAAGTGGTGAAAGAATTATATCTTTTTATTGTGTGCTGAAAAATTGAATGGTACTTGAATGTTTCAATACTTATACATGCTTTTGGTGTTGCAGTCGGTGCTCCGGCAGCACATCCTCATGCAGATGCACCTGGGCCGCACGCAGGCCGCGGCCGGCCAGTCGATGCTGGTCAGCGTGTCCAAGGCCGAGATGATCTCCAGCTACCAGCCGTGGGTCATCCTGACGTACGGCGACGCGGCCAAGACCAAGACCATCACGCTGTCCAAGTACGCGCGCATCGTGCGCACGCTGCGCGGCGAGGAGGTCAACTCGGCCGAGAACTCCAAGTTCCGCTTCTGGGTGCGGTCCAAGGGCTTCCGCCTCGGCGCGCCCGAGCCCGACGGCCACCCGCGCAAGCCCGCCGACGACATCCTGGGCAGCTACGGCGTCGACACGCGCTCGGGCCACCTGTACATCTGCGCCGACGAGGCGGGCCACCCGACGCACCCCGTGGACGCGCCGCCGCTCTACGTGCCCACCGGCACCAACAAGGTGAGTCCACGTCTATATCATCATCTTTCGCGACGGCGTCCAGCCCGAGTCGGGCCACCCGACATCGGGAAGCTGCGGCTCTCCGGCTTTAACAACCCGCTGACGTCCGCCCGAGGTCCCCACCACTTCAGCGCCGTCCTCCCCTTCTCCCTGCCCCTCTCCACGGTGACCCGGTTCGCTTCTGCTGAGATGCAGCAGCAGCCCCCGCGGGTCTGTCTCGTCTGGGCGCGCGGCTCCTCCTGCCTGCGGGAGATATTGCCTCGGGGGATATGAGGGAGTAAAGAACAATCCCATATCGATCCCAGCGTCCAGGGTTTTAGGGGTTATGTGTGTGGGAGAGGGGTGTGGGGTGTGGGTGGGTGGGGGGGAGATAAAGGCCGACGCCTGGCTTTTTGCTGCGGGACGCGCCGGCACGGATCAAAGCACGGGGCGCGCGGGGGAGGCGCGGGGGAGGGACACGCGTCAACGAGGCCGCGGCCGGCCGACCTCCCCGCGGGAGCCTGTCCGGGCCGGGCCGCGCGGGGCCACCAATCAATCGGACCGCGCCGGGCGGAGCCGGGCAGAGCCGAGCCACGCAGCCATTCGGGGCCGCGATCCAATTTCCAGAGCACGCCTGCCGGCCCGGGCCCGCCGGCTCCACCATGACGCGCCTCTCATGCTTTCATGCGCCGCCCGTGATGCGGCTCTAGCCAGGGGCTCTCTCTCTCCCTCTCTCTCTCTCTCTCTCTCTCTCTCTCTTTCTCGCCATCACCCCTTCTCTCTCTCTCTCTATCGTGTTTTTGGCACCATCGATCACTGCAGCAAGCAGGGGGGCGCAGGCAGGCTGCACCGTCATCCTGTGCTAGCCAATGAGTGGGAGAGCGAGAGGGCGAGAGAGCGAAAGAGGGGTGAGGAGGCGAATGTAAAGGAGAGAGCGAGAGAGAGAGAGAAAGTGCGAGGGGAGAGAGGGTGAAGGGGAGCGAGCGCGCTATCGACGGGCCGACCGACGCGACGGCCACCTCTGGTGATCACGGCGACACGAAAGGCTGACCCGCTCCCCTTCCCCTCACCCCGGCCTGGGCGTCGGCGGACATTTACTACAGCGAGCAGCGCGGCGTGGCGTGACGAGGCGTGGCGGCGCGGCCGGCATTTGAAATGAGTCGCGACCAAATCGCATTACAGGCGGCAGCGGGACAGATTGGAGGCGCGCCCCGCAGCCGCACCCCGCCCCGCCACGCCACGCGCGCTGGGACATGTTGATCCCCCGGGGTGTGAGCGTGCGTGGGCGCGCGGGTGTGAGCGCGAGAGAGCGATGCAGAGAGAGAGAGGGACAGAGAGAAGCAGAAAGAGGGAGAGGGGGGAGGAGAGAGAGAGAGAGATGGCGCGCTAGGGCTGTGGCCTGGCCGGAGGGGAGGGGCGCTAAGTGTCCCGCCAGCGAGCGCGCTGTGGAGCCGCACTGCGGGCGGCGGGTGGGGCACGGGGGTGAGGGG